TACATATGCATATTATTTTGATGTTGATCGAGTATTGACTAAATCTATAATGCGCTACTACTTTAATACTGTATTAACCTACTAGGTTGTACATGCAGGAGATCAATGGCTAAATTTATTAGTCATAATTGGCATTTGGTTTGTGTTTTAAAAGCCTTGATTTAGAGAAAACTCGTGATTATTTATGTATACAACAGACTGAATCCATAGGGCTTCGAAAGCTCTTAACTAATGCAGGTACTTTGCAAAGAAATATCTATAATTATAGTACTCCCGTTTTAAATGAAAAACCGAATTGCTTAGAACACGACCACGTGTACGAGTATCTTGTACCTATTTGATTTTTATTACAAAGGAAAATCAGACTATTTTTAGAACCTTATTCTCGATTGGATAAATTTGAACATGATATTCGCAAATCAGTTTGTAAAGGTTTGATATAGATTTAAAATGAAGTCCTTTTATAAAAGAACCTCAGTTCCGTTTTCATTTACTCCGCCTTGTCTTGCGGTAACAGCATAGGTTCGACCTGTATTGAATGAAACTGAAAGAAATATTTATTTAGTGATTAACTTTATTATATAGACTGTATTCAAGAAAGGTAAAATCCGAGGTAAAATCCCACCATCCAAATAAACTGGCTAAATTCATGTAATATGAAATCTTTACCGAAAAGTATTTTTAAGCGCTTTATGCTATATATAGTACAATAATTGAAATATAAGAAGACTTTCTAAAGGAAGGTGATCGAAATCGGAAATTGGAACTAAAAGTAATTTTGCTTTACTTTGTACTTGAATTTTAAACGCAATTACGGATTACCGCACGTTACGCAGTAGTAGGAATAAAAATCTAAAGCAATGCCGTAACTAAGGTTACTGATCGCCTGCGGAAAATATATAAGTATTACTCTTTTTGGTGGAGATTTATTTCCTTTATAAGTAGAGATCTTTCCTCAATTTAGGGACATCATAGTTCGGGTGGATTTTTGTTCAAGTCAAAAAATGTTTAATTTAAACATCGAATTTATCGTACAAGTAATTAACAACATGTTTGTATTACTTAGGTATTAACAAATAACAACACATCATTTATAATTTATATATCGAGCTAGCAGGGTTTGCATTTCCGTAGAGAACTCGAGACTGAGTGGCATTAATCTAATTGTAGAAAATGATCTAAAATATTGCATGATTTGTCGAATTTTTATTTATATGGTACTGTAAAACTAAGGCGTAGTTTTAATCACGCCTTAAACATAGTCTCCATCAGTTTCAACGCATGTATGTTGCAGTGTACCATTTTACTCGAACTGTTAACTATGAACTTATGCATAAATGATTGTTAGGCAGGAATCAAGCTTTGAAATAACGTTCCAGATGAATTATCAACTGATCCCCCAAACTTAACTAAATGATGGACGATTTCAATATCTTTGTATACCTGCCTTTTATGTACACTAGAAAAATAGTATATTGAAAGACAAGTGTTACAATGCGACCTATTGTAATACGACTATCTTGTGGGACGAGTGGCGACGCGAAGCGTAGCCACGAGTGTCCGCAAGATAGGAGTATTACAATAAAGCATTGTAACACGCTATTTTTTCTATTTCGGTGCTTTAATTTAATTAAAAAAATCATTATCAGAAACTATAGGGAACATTAGAACTAACATGTTTTATGTTGGGAACACTTTTTATGCCGTTAAGTTTTAGGTTGGCAGCGCAGTAAGACTGACATTTTGAAGTTCAAACATGGAAGTACCCAACGAAGTACCTACTTGTACTAACTAGTAACTGCCAACTTAAGAGATGAGTTACCAAAAAAAAACGACTATAATCACTGTCTTTGTACAACTGTTTTCGGCCGAAAACAGTTGTACAAAATCATCCTTGTGACACCGAAATAGAAAAAGTAAATTGTGGATTGGAATTTGGGAGAATGCAGACCCTTCCGCGTGCTTTGATAAGGTATCCTGTATTCCCGTGATACAAAACCTAAAGGACAGAACGTAACTGTGCACTGAATAAAATAGGAAATAACAAAATTAATTAAAACAACTGGGCACACCCGAAAGCAAAAATTCATTATTTGGTATACCTACCGTTTAGATGTAGATACGCAATGACAATAATAATTATGAGGGAAATGCATTACAATACAGGCATTTCTTGCATACTTTCTCGATCAAATAAACGAACACTACATTTGTGTAATTCCAATGTGCCTCGTATTTCCACGCATTCTTGTTTCACATTATATTCCAGGTAAATATTAAATTCAATTTGAGGTTGTTTGTTTAATTATATTAGTTGACTTGCGAAATAGTTGTTTGAAATTGAAAATCTCCATTAGTGCAGGTTTTCAGTAATCTGGAGTGAGAGGATTTCTTTCACTCCAGGCACATCTCAAGATGAAAATGTAACCGCCGCTTTTTAACACATTTCTCCATTGAAATATGGGTGTGAAATGGAGTTCCGTGAAGTTAGTAGAACATTGGCAGCACAAAAATTTGTCACTAAGTGGATTGGTTAGTGTGCTATGTTCGTCAGAAATAGACAAGAATCCCTACCTCTGAAGATAGCTTTCAGCAATGTATATACAAAATAAGTATACGGAGTTATCGGATCTAAACTCATTTTTTAGTGGAACGCTCGGTATACTTTAATCTAAAAAGATAGCATATTTAATATTCTTTCCAAAAATATAACATACTATGAATGATATCGATTTTTTGTAAACTTCATGTGTGTTATATTTTTGAAATGACAATTTAATATACTTTTTGGATTAAAATACACGCGGTGTTCCATTAAAAAAATTAGGCTAGGTCCGTTAACTTTTTTACCCGACCCCGTGTACTTATTCTGAAAACGGCAGATTATTCAATAATTAAAGAAACTTTTGCATAAAACAATTACAGGGATACCCTATAAAAGTGTAAAACTGTCAGAGTAGCTAGGGCCATCAGGCGCAAGTAAGGCTAACAATCTTATGACTCTGGCTGACAACTGGAAAATAATGACAACCCTTCAGATGTTGGGTATAAATTACTTACAACGTCGCGACATAAAAGGGGATTTTTAATTGCGGACATAATTAATGTTGTTAACAGCAATAATTATACTTATAAGAATTTTCGAAAAATGTTTACAAAATGCGAAAGGGTACACCTAGTAAGTAAAAGCCTTTCGTTGTACCTTTCTATGGTTTACATATGCTAGACAAATTTTGAATAGCGGGGTAGTCCATTTTTAACATACCTATACCCTGCATTACTGAGAGCAATTTATTTTATGAAAGAGTACATTAAAAAATTAATCATATAAAATAAGATCTTCAACAGCTTTTGAGAATAATATAAGGAAAACCATAGCGGTCAGTTTGCTCTACTTCTCTGTCTATATGTATATGGAAATTTGAACACGAATATTGCTAGTCAAACTTCCCACGACATGTCGATTAATAGTACCTATCATTCTTCTAATCTCTTAGCCAACAGGACGTGCCTTCTACAGTTGGTCGGGTATTGAAGAAATTTAAGGGTTTGTGGTGTTTCCATCAGGAACGCTGCTTTTCCTGGCGAGTCGGGTTGTTTTCGGTTTGTACCATTAACATGGTAAATTCCTTCACACTAAGATTTTAAATGAAGTAATTCCTTTACTTGTGGGCTATGAAAATATGGATTACTAAGTAATAAGTACCTACTCATTAAACGGACTATTAATAAAAACTACAGAATTTATTTATATGCATACACAATCTTCTTATTCCAAGGAAACGTAAGAATAGAATGCCCATTTTACAGCTCCAGTATTTAACATCATACCGACTGATCGCCACCCTCAGCCGTCAACGACCTTCTTATTTTTCCAGCCAGTCTGGATGTAAGTGTGACTCTCGTTGTTTACTTTACACTATGTACATAGGTAAACTTTAAAGAAAAACAGATAACGTGCCCTGTTACGCTTGCACAGTATTCTCTCAGTATTGTGTGATGATTTTGATACGTTCTTGTATTGTTTATATCGCTTTTTATTTTTGACCCCATATAAAAGTAGCAAAAGGTTTAAGATCATTTGCAGAGGTTGCCATAGAATACCAGATGTTAATAATAACTACCACCAAGTTTCCACAGTGAGATGGGGTACATGGGTTCGAAGCAAAGAAATTTGGCATCGGAACATTTCTCTGCTTCAAAATAATGAATCGATAGGGATAGAATTCAAAATTGTACTAGCGCAATTTGAAAAATGTTCTTCTCGTGGATTATCTTTTAATATACACTACAGGCCTTTGAAAACTTGCAATTGTCATATTTTTTTATAAAAGAGAAATGTTAAAAAAATAAGAAATACCGTTTCTGTAAAAACCAGGGGAAATCTAAATGACTGTTTTTTAAACTACCCCCGCCACCCCCTTAAGCACAACCCATACTGACGTAAAAATCTTAAATAAAGATACCCAACTTGCGATACCTCTCTGACAAGTTTATTAAACATGATTTTCACTGACAAAAAAAAGTAGGGTGAACTTAAAAACCAACCTCGAATATTGAGGTAAGCTCCGAATAAAATTTTTTCTATTGTTAATTTCTTCAAGTTGAAATAAAGGTTTTTTGAATTTGAGGTTAATTTTTGAGTTCACCCTACTTTTTTATGACCAGTGAAACGCATGTTTAATAAGCTTTTCAGATGCTTTCGGGCCATTTGTTGAGGTAAGCAGTGTAGCAAAACATGCACTAACGTTTAAACGAAGGGAGTAATCAATTTTTTAATAAATGTGTTAAACTAAATCTTAAGCTATCAGGGGATACTGTAATCATTACACAAATACAGCAATACAGTGGTAAGTGTGAGGTTTCATTCTATTATTTCTTGTCTGGTCAGCATCCCGTGATTCCATAAAATTCATTTTATTAACGTTAAAAACTCGTGTAGGAATAATGCAAGGGGTGCTGCTAATCTAGTATTAAAATGGCATTCTTTTTTGTTACAGGTGGTGCATGGAGTTCACATTGAACCGGCTCACGTAATGAAAAAGCGTAGTATAGATCAACCCCTAAGAATTCTACTTTGGTACGACGAAAGTGTATATAGGTAAGCTATTGCTTTATTAAAAATTCATCTGAGAGTCACCTTGATTCGTGAAGAGAATATGTTTTTCATGTCGTCAACTACGACTACAAAGGATGCCGTACAGGTTGCTAGGGTTTCATACTCAAGCACTTCGTGTTTCGCAGCTTCTGTACATGTCGTGGTTTTATTTTCAATATAATTCATTATCTGCGACGTCTTGTATTTCTTTGGAAAGTACCAGAGCTCCCTGTCGTGAAGTGAAAAATAGCATCTCTATCCATAGAATTGTAATCCAAGTTAACAATAAAATTCCAGCAATAGCTTTTGCTCTGCCTATTTGAATCTGAGAAACAACTTCTTATGACTTTAGCGAGGCAACTTCAAGAATATAAGTGGTGACTATATTAGTAATTAGTGGTTGCGTCATTTCAAAGCGTTACGCGATGTGTATAAAAATTAAAATACTTTTCGAGTCAGTCCAGTACCTTTCTAAAGAGTTAAAGACCAATACAACAACTCCAGATTACATACGAAAATCAATTTCAGCTAATTTATCCTGGATTTTAAATAATTTTGAAATGATCTATTTTTATTCCGAAGTAAGGGTAATTTAACTAATTGACGACAAATTTTAATTTGTGTTTGCGATGTTATTTTTTCTTGTGTAACGTGAGCGCTTTAATGGTGTTAAATTTGTTTAATTTGGTTAAGGTTGCGCATTTTAGGTACTGGATATCAGGGAGTATACAGGATTAATTACGGTCCGATCTAATTTAAGCCAAGAAGACGTTTCGTTAACTTATTAGATACAGATATCTGATGTAGTTAGGTAAATGAAAGTAAAAATTTTTAAAAAGGTTGTTAGTTTTGACCGTTCGCATTTAAATATGTGTCTTATGCTTGCATATGTTTATAAATTAAAGCTTTACATTGTAAAGTGTACGGTGTAAAATTATAACACTCAAATTAATTTTCATACATTCGATTATTCAGGCATTTTTCAAATATCTTGGAGAATGTTGAGGCAATCGATAGTGGGCGCTTTCTGTATTATCATTATCACTATACATTTCCACTATCCAGTAAATTGTGTGATCTCTATTGGGTCTTAACTAATTTTCCACACAACTGATGCTAACAAACGTTTCAAACACTTATTTTCGATCTGAAGTATGTACCTCGAATTTTCATTACGGTTTCAATCAACCAGATGAAAACATTTAACTTGATTGTGCGAATTTACAATGAATTATGATTAATAGCAGAATAACCAACATTATATTTCGTACCTATTGTCTTCTTGATTCAACCATCAAATTGGAGCTTTATGTTAATCATTTTTATTGTTTCAGATTAGATGAGGAGCGTTTTGAATTAATTAATGTAAGTACCATCCAATCTAATTTAAATTTCCGTTCTTTCGTTATAAACGTAGTTTCTAAAAAAAGGTTCGGTGCTCTGTTCGACGCAATTGACTATGTACTAAACTGAATTAAGACACGACCTTCGAAGCAGGAAAATAAATGTATCTGTCGTAGTCTTTTAATGAAATCCGTCATTTCACGAAACGCCTAGTCATTTATATGAAACTGTGGCACAGTGTACTTTCCAGGACCAAGCGATTGGATTCCCTTCCCATTCGAGATCGATAAATGGTATCCCTTATCGGTCTAGAATCGGAAGGAAAACTACCCCACACCTACAAATTTTCAGCGTTTCACTAAATGACTAGGCCTCGGACTAGGCTTTTCGTGAAATGGCAGATTTCACTAAAAGACTACGACATATCCAATATAAGGAACTAAATGACATTATCTGTCGAAAATCTGGTGTTAAATGTATTTTGCTAAATGCTACGCCTTAATTGAAAGGGATAACATAGAGGATGCCTCGCCTGTTCACTTTTGGGAAAATTAATTCTCGTATCTCAGAAGTTTAATTACCGCTGATCGGCTAAGTTATAAGAAATTAATTTATCAAATAAATGTGACGAAAACACAGATGTAATATGTATAGGTACTTGCTTAGCTTTAAAACTATAATTAACTGTTTAATCAGGTGGAATATCATAATAAAAATAAGAGACGCTTTTGTAAAGACAGATTTTGCAGATCCAGAGGTTAAGGAGATGAATCTACCACCGTCTAAAGAAAGGTGCAGTAACTCATACTATAGACAGGAGATACTTTTAAAAAATCATGCCGAAAACACTTCGACAAAAAAAGAGTTTACAGTCTCAGAAGCGAAGGGGTAGATGTGCCATTCAACCCTACAAAAATCTATGTCGAAAACTAGAATTTTTGAAAAACTGCAATAAAAATTAGCAACTTCTGCAAAAAATTCGAGCGATGAGGAGACCAATCTGTTCTCTAAAGAAAAGGGCAAAAACGAGAGGTATTAATATACAGTTTTAGTTAGATCATTTTGCGTATGTTTTCTAAAGGTAGATTCGCCCTGCATCTGGAAAATCTTCCCTTTCGAGGAGTTTTCCTTATTTTTAGCCAGTTTTGTGTTGCTAATTATGAAGGTCGTGACATTGGGAAATGTTTCTAGTTAGCTTATACTATTTTAATTAGGGGGATGTATATAGGTTCCTCACTTTACCATTTGACAAGCAACTGCTATAATACGTAAATTTGAAATGTTTACGCGGCAGACTTTTGACACTATTGACTATCTACAACAAACCATAAAATAACGGACGATTCTTCAACACGCTTGACTTTAGGCCTCTATAAATATTTTATTAGCAATCTGAAATTAACACAATGGAGTATCTCAATAATAGTCAATACACCACGTAAATGTATTAGGATGACGCTAGACCGGAGGGTAAATGCACTAATCCTTTCCCATAAAAATTGAAATTTATTTAGATTTTATTTAAAGTCGATCCAAAAATGGAGCAAGTAAAAAGAATAAATAACCTGAAGGGGATAAAAGACCAAAACAATTGAAGATGATACTCTACTTCTATAACAGGTTGTAACAGGAGCAACTTCACGGACCTCATTACATTTGCTTTTTTCATTAAGGTGAATGATATTTTAAAAATTTCAAGATTACAAAAAATATGAAGACATTTGACTTAAAAAATTATCCGCTTACGTTGCATATGAGCAGCGTTGCTCTCCCACCCCAGATTGTGTGGGAAAATCATATTCATCGGGAAAACCTCCTTTTTTAATATGAGGATGTGAATTGCTCACAAACTTCAGCGGTAACAGATTAAAAATAAATATAAGCTATAACGCTATATTGCAATATCTAGAGTAGCTTGCTCTTAAACATAAAAAGAATATAATAAATAGGTAAACTGAAACTGAAACACCTAATTACAAAATACAACTAAATTCAGTTGTCTTCAACAACCCTCAGATGCACTGAAAGTATGTGTTTTTGGGTTCATTTAATTAAAGACACAAAATGTGCATAATTTGTTATTCTCTTAATCAGAATCAGGAGCGGCATGAAATTACTGTTTCTGTTTTTCAATTACGAAAGAAACATTACATTTACTATGTGGCACCGAATGATGGTCAAGGTGTTTTGTAGATTTTCTGGAACTTTGTTAAATACCAATCGGAACCAAACAAAATATAATTTTATACAAATTAGTTGTTTGGAATTACTGGAATTAACAACCAATTTTAGCTATTGGTTGCATGGTGCATGAAATAACGTAATCTATATAATGTGATAAGAAGTTCATTGAGTTTGCACGCAAGAAAGCGTTAATTTCGTTAGCAACTCAATATGATTTGCAACAAAGGGTAACTTTCTTATAAAATGAAATGTTTTATATCTTTAAATTGCCCACCGGTTGCCGAGGTGATATCCTTTCAAGTAAAGGTTAAGTGCATCCCATCCCCGATTTTTATTGTGGCCCCTCTTGAAATTCTCACATTTATTGCGTTTCAAAAGAGCATATCAATGTATTGCCCTGAAACTTTAAATGCAATACGACTTTTTACAATTGTTTCTAAAGTGTCCTTCAACCCATTGGCACTGAACAGCTTTTTTCTGTAAGTTAGTAGTAATACAGCGTTAAACAAATTGCTGAGAAAAAAATTGCTGATACATAAATGTTTGGTTAATTGTAAAATATAAGAAATGCCATTAACGTATGACATCGAATTTTTTTATTATTTTTCGAGATAGCGTTGACCTACGTGCTTATAGTGACGTAGAGCTTCCGCTTTTTGTACAGTGCATGAAAAATATATAACTCTACCGTTACTGACAGAACGCCGTAACTACTGCGCGTGGAAAGCTGAAGCATGTAGATTCCTTGAGGATTGGAGCGCACGAAGATATCCTGAAATTCCCACTGAAAGGGGATGAATTGAGACAGAGGGTTTAGAAACTTACCGCAGCAGCCGAATTTCTTCTTACGTAATTGAGCAACTCTTGACCCGTAAAATCAAAATAGTGAATACCCCAATGGGCCAGAACTGAATGCCTTAAAATTAATCCTTCCTATGCTTCATTTATCATCTAAATAATTAACGCATTTTTCTTTAAAAGCCACTCAGGATTGCTGTACTCCCTGAGTGCAAGAAAAACTAGTCTGTTTTAACAACCTACACACGGAAATTGCGCTGAATTGTGTTTCTGTAATGCGGACGGGTGATATCAGAGCTGCGTAACTTTTTGTCAGCAATTTTTTTAAACAAAAACCCTACTAAGCTTACTCCTTATTCTGCGACTCACTACAACTGAGAATGTCCTACAGCTATTAAGAGGACAACACGCTATAGAAGTCAATTGACGCAGAAAACACGATCATCAATTCCACCCATTACTTACGAATTTTGTACATTCTCTCAGGCATACAATATATTGAAAAATTCAATCCTCTAATTATAACACCTAGTAGACTTTCGTGGTGTGCGATTCCTAAACTTATTAAATACTTTATAATATTGCAGTAACGGATTTCGATTATGTCAATATAGAAATAAACTCATAAAGAGCGTTTAAAAACGCGGCAGAGCACCTCGGTGTGACCCCACGGAGTCATTGGATTTGACCCATTTTCAATTGACTTGTTACATGTGGCATTTAGGTCAACTGTGCAAAGTTTGAACCAAATCGGTCCAAGTGTTTGACAGTTATCGTGTTCACGGATAGACGGACACCATCGACTCCCTTATAAAGCTTGCATCGCTTTGCTCTGCCGCTTAATAGTTACGTATAAATTTAATTATCATTGGGAATAATTAGGGTTAGCAAATGGTGAAGGTAGAGTAATTTAAGGGCTTGTAAGACTATTGTCTAGACTCTAGAAGTTTTAAGGATTCGTTCATGTATATGTTTATTCTCAAAAGATTTGAAGGAACAGTATATTGTAGCTGCAATTGCGAAGTTACGATTTTGTCATATTTGTTAAGATTTAAAAGTTAAAAGTATGTGTTACATTCCTGTTGTTCATAACTTTACGCTTATGAGATTTGCATACAAAATTTAACCAGAATCGTTCATTTATCAGACAAGGTCTTTCTAAAGTAGTATTATTATACCCTTTACACTGCCATTGTAACAACCATATTCTTTAATTGCCCTCAAAAGAGTATTTAATTAAACCTAAAGTACATATTGACCTTACATGGGAAGAGAGGTTTTTAATAAAACCGTAAGTACCTTTAAACTTTTATCACAAATTTATTCTTGTACAATAAAAAGAGAAGTATGATTGGAAGGGGGTTGTTCTTTTTCTACTACCCTGAATTCTCAATTGAATCGGAACCGTTCATTAGAAATTGTTCCCAATCGTTTCTAAAATTTGGAGGGAACATACACCTAATGGCCTAAACCTTCCTAATATGCCCGTTGGCTGATATTCAATCCGGTGCGTCTTTATATTCACTTAACTAATTGAATGTACATATTCAAATTCGTGATTGTCGCTTGTATTTTATGCAAAACGTGCGTTCTTCCAACACATATACAGGGTGGTACCTAGCGCGACGCAGCATAGGAATTTCAATGGTAATTTCTTTATAGTCAACTACTAGCTCCCCTAATTATTTTAGAGCGAAAGTCTAAATACGTTTTTTTGAGAGAAAAAAATACTGCATCTGTTCATACTATAACTCATAATTTTCCGTTTTTTAAAACCGTAGAAATCGACAAAATAAAAAGGTTCATTTTACAATAAATCAGATATGCCTTGGAATTACCTAAAAAAACAGCGATAACTTTTTCATTATTTGCCTTTGACGTATATTAAATTCATACTTGTTTATAAATTAGTTAATCTAAATTGTTTATCATGTATTTAACTGAAGAGAAAGAGGAAAGAGAAAATGTTTAAATTTTATGCCCGCCAAGTAATAACGTCTTTATTTACTGTAAAGTACCCCAATCGACCGATTCCAAGCAGTACCACAGTAGACAGAATTGTGCGCAAGTTTCAAAGAACAGTAACAGTGCTAAATCACTGCAAGTGCAATAACGTTCAAAATGTCTGTCAAAACCATCAGGAAAACGACAATACATTCAACGTTTTGGCAGCAGTAGTGGAAAATCCGAATATAAGTTTAAGAACAATTCTACCTCAAATCAATTTCTTTTTCTTCGATTATGTACTCTGGTTCCGGAAGATGATAAACAAATAGTATTTGATGCAGATGCAGCATTACATTCTCTAAAAAAACATTACCCCATAGACGCTTTTTCTTGCGTCGGATAGTTGAAACAGAATTAATTATAAAAATCGTTCGACGTCAAACAACACTTGTAGTTTGTTAAAAGATTCCAAAGCATCACTGATTTATAAGAATGTAATTTTTTATTTTGTGGATTTATACGGTTTTGAAAAACGGAAAATTATAAGTGATCGTATGAACAGATGCAGTATTTTTTTTCTCTAAAAAAACGTATTTAGGCTTTTGCTCTAAAATAATTAGGGGAGCTAGTAATTGGCTATAAACAAATTACCATTGAAATCCCTATGCTGCGTCGCGCTAGGCGCCACCCGGTATACCTATACGTATGTACCTATATCAGAAATTACATTTTACAGAATTAAAATGTTTTATATAATTTAATTTTTCGCATGCTATGGTGACGGAAACCATTAACCGTACATGTTCGATCAGTATTTTTGCTTTACTTTAAAAATGTGCACAAGAGTGAATTCTGTTTACAAAAACTAATTCCCACAATAACGCGTATTTACTTGATATTTGTTAGCGAGACACAAAAGGAAAGGGAATATAAAATATATGAACATGTGAAAGAACACCTACTAAAACCTAAACCTAAAAAAAGCAACATTTTGTCGCAAAACGAGACAGGATCACATCTCGAGAACCAATTTGCTCTTTTCCCGAATAAGAATGGATAAAATTAATTTAAGTCTATTTTTATAGGTAACTCCAAAGGGCGTTTACTTTCTATTTTGTATTGAATTGAAAATACCAAGAACTCAAATGCATCTTACATTGTGTTTCAGAGTAAGGCGATTAAATTGATGGTTATTTTTGTATTTTTGCAGAATACAATTTTACCTCAAGCTGTGCAGTTCTGGGAGAACGCATTATTCGTCAGAAAAGTGGAAAACGTAATTCGACTAACAAGGTAACAACCATTTCTTCTACTCAGTGCTCATGTTTGATTTTGAATATAGTTTGTCTTATGCGAAAATATTATTATCTTTCTTTATTGCAGAAAATGCATGGAAACGCAGGTGTTTGTCAAAGACTCGTTAACACATTGCATAGACAGTTGCAAAGAAAAGACCCTCTGTGGAGAGATTGAAGTTCCCGCTGAACATCTGGATGCGTGCAGAACGTGCAATTCAACCGGTCAGGACTGTGGAATTGCCAAAGGTTCAACCGCTGGAAAAGGAATAGAGAACTTCGACTTCATCTTTTACGTATCTGCAATGCAAACTGAACGCTGCAAGAAGTCACTTACGGTTGCATACGCCGCACATTGTCAACAGGAAGGTGCTCTGGATAGGTGAGATATTTTTTTTACAAAAATTAACAGCAGCAATGACTTAGAGTAGCAAGACCATCGACCTTCAAACTGAATATGTCAGTAGTTCCCTCTAATACTGTTTGTCACAGTAGGTATTTGTCTTTTTTGCGATTCTCAACTTTGAAGCTAACAGTTTTAAGAAAACATTTTGCCCAGCTTCTTCCAAAATGTGTATATCATCGCGGGTTTTGAGGATTTTCATTATTGGAAATTCGAATTTATTTATTTTTCCAATTTTTTCATAGCGGTAGGTAAAGTTGAAATTTTGGGAGTTATAGAAGTTTGGGTGTCGAAATTTATAGGACCGATTTTCCAATAAACTATTTGACTGGTGGAATTGTAAGAATAAATAAGCGAGCATTCGGTTGAATGGATGATTGTCCTTTTTGCGTTTTTTAATTTCTGTAGAGCATTAGATTCATTAATGGATTCCGGATGTGTGGAGACGGGGATTTATGGCTTTATGGTTCAGTGGTAGAGCATTGGGCTATAAATCCGGAGGTCGGGTGTTCGAACCTGGGTTGAGGTGAATTTTTCATCTGTGGCAGAAATGGGAATTACTTTAGACCAGTTTCGAGCATTCTGCCCGCTACTCCGAATTAGGTTTTCCTGCAGTTTTCCTAGTTCGTAAGGTAAATGCCGGAGTAGTATAGAACAACTTAAGACCTTCTGCAGAGGCACCTCTAAAAAAGCATTATGCGGGTCACTCTGTAATTGGGCGCAAGCCTGTTGAGCACCCAGAACAAGAGAGGGATAATAAATTTAAAAAAATAAATAAATAAATTTGGATCATGAATTATCTTAATTAGGGCCAGTTGATTTGAACTACGAATTCGACAAGAGGACTGTCGTGTTTGGAAATGATTTATTGTCCTCACTGTTGTTTAATTGGTAATGCAAAATGAAACAAACGAATCAATGATTAATGATGTTCGATTTTCTTAATAAGAAGCTTTTTGTAGGTGTTAATTAGTTAAGGTAAGAATAATGGGAGTCATTTCTGGGGGATTTAGCATTGATTCTGCAGCGGCACCTACGCTAAAGCCCCACTCTTGGGTGACATTTTGCAGCGGAGGCTTTTCTGTAAATAATTTTGACATCTGTCCTTTGTTTTTATAAAACTGGAAACTGGTACAAGAATGTATCATAAAAGAAATTACTCAAATCCGTCGGCTAGCCCTTATTATTTTGACTAAAACTTTACCTTCTAATAACCCCCTTGCTAACGTGAAAGATCTATTTTTCTGTAATCTGAAAAGTTGCTACATACGTTTTTTACAAACGTTTTTTATTCACTGTCCAGCAAAACAACAACACCGAAAGGCCATATAAACGTATGTATATTGTAGAAAAAATCAGAAAATGCGTCTCTCTTTTACATTACTCTTTCATTTACTTATATTTTTCTACCTGTCACAATTTGGGATAATAAAATTTACTTTGAAATGGCCATCTCATATTTTACTTCTAAATAACTTAAATGCTTGAAATTTAATTTCGGGTGAATCAAATAAGTAGGTACATTTACGCTTTAACCAAACCTTGCTTTGTGATTACCGTAACCGTAACAGATGTAATAAATACACCCTTGAACTTGGTTTCCGTCATTATAAAATTTACTTATGGAATTCCTACCTGACTCTGAGAAAAAAATCTGAACTAGGAACTGACACCAAATTCAGTGGCTTCTTTTGATTGCAAAATACATTGAAAATACAGAATTTTTTAAGCTGATTAGAATCCTCTCATTTAAAATGTCTACTTCTAAATATACAACAGATTAATATTAATCTTTGACAATGGATCTCAAATAGCCAATCACATACATACGACTGACGTTTAGTTTCAATTTTTCTTGGGCATGGGTGCTCGGTGATTCTTACTGTTAACCTTTTTATTCGTAAATTTGGGGTTAATATCAGATGTTTTCTAAGGAACTGCATACTTGAAACCTACCGGTATATGGAAAATCTCCTATTCTCTGAGTTTGAATTTAAAGATTTGAATGGACAATACAGACTCCTAATGTTGGTTTATTTGCTGGTCAATGATACATGGTCCAAAAGTGCGTGTTGCTTACGAACTGATTATCTCGATTTTATTACAGTTTAATTTAGATTTGGAGAAATCTCTTAGGTAAACGTAAACTTTACGTTATTTCACAGTTTCCTTTGTTGTAATTCCGTGCATCGAGTGAACTTATTTTACCTCCTTTTTTCTTTATTAAATTGTACAAATACGAGGTAAAGTTTCTTAAGGAGTTTGCTTACTAACACGCTTGTTTATAGTTTTTTTTTTTATTGAATGGCTACTGCACGTTTCCGAGCGTTTCAAACTCATACAGTCGAGTACACAAATATCCCTTGGCGTATTTTTAACAGACTCGATCCTGCTGAACTGGGACTCATGAACTAACGTGCGATTTCGGAACTTAAACGCCTAGTTAAATTGAACGAAACAACTTGTCCCTTTCAACGGTGACACTTTTGGATTTTCCACCTTCTCGTAAAACGCCCTTTGTGCACCGTACTTTTTAATTTAAATGATTAGCGCTGATTTTTTACAACTTTCTAACCTTGACCAACTTTTGGTAAAAAAATCCCTTATGGTAATCGTTACGCCCGCATCTCTATCATCCTACGACTTCGATTATCTTTTACTGTAAAGTCATGAAGTGCTATTGATCTAAAGTTATGGAATTACAGGTTAATAAATAGTGTAGGTACAACAAAATGTCTCCCGCCTGTCTCTTATTACTATTGATCCGAGTTTAGTAAAAGATCTCCCATAATTCGTCCGTCTGGCGTCTATAGCCATATTGCGCAAAGGGATTGATTATGTCTTTGAATCTTTGATAAAGGGTACCTTGTCATTCTTTCGACCAAAGGCAGTGCATACTTACCTACCTATCGATGACGCATAATGCAAAGTTAACTTGGATATGACTTTTTAAATAAGTAATTTGAAATTTGAAATTGATAGGCCTATTGCTGGACATGCGAACTTGTGCCCTGAAAGCATCAGTACAAAACCGCAAGAAATGGAAACTCTCTTGTCAACTGTCAAGCACGAAATTCTCCACGCCTTAGGATTTTCTGTCAGTTTGTATGCGTTTTATCGTGATAGCGAAGGAAATCCACTTACTCCCAGGAAACCAGATACTGGAAAACCTGTCTTGAACGAACGGTAAAAATATGTACACTTACTTCCCCACGTAAATAAAGTAATGTCATAGATTGCAAACTTACCAATGGAGCGATAGAGTAATACGGACCATAACAAGGAAGAATTGGTATGTACGGGACGGCGTAATTCCGCGAGATATTCAAATGATTGTCACTCCAACCGTTGTTGATGAGGTGCGCAACTTTTTCAATTGTTCGGTGTTAGAAGGGGCTGAATTGGAAGATCAAGGAGAGGAGGGGACTGCATTAACACATTGGGAAAAACGCATTTTTGAGGTATGATTATAGCTTGTTCCATTTATTGATCAAGGAAACATAGAAGCCAGTGAGTTAGCTCACTACACATTTTCTATGGTTAACTACTATACACGGCACAAAAATGTATATAATTTCATTGTTTAGAATGAAGCCATGACAGGAACACATACGCAAAATCCCATTATATCAAGAATAAGTTTGGCACTCATGGAGGATACAGGGTGGTATCGTGCCAATTACGACATGGCTGGTTCAATGTCGTGGGGAAAAGGTTTAGGTTGTGATTTTGTATTAAAAAGCTGCAAAGAATGGATTTCATCTAAATCGGCAAGGTAAACAGAATAGGCCAATTGTGTTTAACGGTAACCACATGCGTCTGTTATATAGGGGATTATCTATTCATCCATTTTGTAACAAGGTGAAGCGTGATCCTCTGCAGACGGAATGTACAGATGACAGAACATCAGTGGCACTTTGCAATCTTGTACGCCACGATCATGTCCTTCCTCAGTTATATCAAGTATGTATACTATTTGTTTAAGATATGCGATTCTAGAGTGTCAACTCTGAATTTGAGGTATGAATTCCGAGTTTGAATAAATCAGTTAAAAATAAAATCTTTTATAGTTTTTTATCCCTATCTATATAATGTTTTTAGAACTTTGACTACATAATGCACGTGGAAAGTGGCACCGAAGAGTTTTACGGGGGATCCGTAACGCTTGCAGATTATTGTCCATATATACAAGAGTTTACGTGGCGTTCGAAAAACGTAATTGTCCGTGGATCACATTGCCAATACTCGGAAAATAACCCAAGTAAGAATTAGTACCTACTATTTAATCTTATTGTTGTTTATATATGAGTCATTTTCAGAGCCAGATAAAAATTTTGCTCTAGAAAAATATGGTAAAAGTTCTCGTTGCTTCGACCACACCAACCAAATGTGGGAGGAGAGATCCTGTAAGCAGATGAGGCAATGGTTGCACTGGGGATCCGGGTGTTACGCATATCACTGTGAAAATGGGCGTCTACATATTATTGTAAGTATTGTCATTGATTATACAGTGTGTATAATCAATGGTATTGTTTATGTATTTGCACTAACGCAACCATTTTTGCCAAATGAAAAACCATTATATTTCAAATATATCAAATATGAGATGTTGCGGCGAATTTAGTGGAATGGGGAGTGATGTCTTTCTAAGCAAAATGTTAAATTCGGACCTACTTACTGATTTATTCATCTTTTGAGGGAGTAATAAACCGTTTGTTGCATTTTTCTTCAATAATTGTAAGGAGAACAAAAAAGGATTTACGTAGGTAACAAAGATTTAAAACAGGTTTTTCCATCAATTGTTTTGTTTTGTTAACTTGTAAAACCTGTACCTTATACCTACAACAAACAACCCTAATGTCTAAAAAATATTAAATTAATGCAATAATTAAAAATATAACATGTTTTATGCTTATCTTCCAAGAGATTATTCAATGTGATTTGACTGTTGATTAAATACTATTTACACAGGTAGGAAACTACACGTACACTTGCTATCATGCGTATCAGGAGCTATCAATTCGAATAATAAGTGGCGGATGGCTGCATAAAGGAGCTATAATTTGTCCTCCATGTCGAGAGATATGTGCAGTAAGTTAGCTACCTCGATTAGACGAATTTGTGTTACCTAGATTTTTTAGGATGAATTCGAAATACGAGACGAATTTTGTAAGAACGGCGAAGAATCGCCACCTGCCACTTTCTATCCGAGGGATGAATTGCAATGCAGCGCATCCCCAATTTCTTTAAGTCTAACATTTATAGCGTCAGTAATACTGTTGGCAACTGGAGTAAGTTGACCATAAATAAACTCAATTTAAATTTTGTTTGCCATTCCATTAGTGTCAATATTGCCACTGACCAAGTGGTGACAATAATATTTCTGGTGTGTATATTTGGTCATGATAGCTTTAGGTATACATGTTTGCATAATATAAGAATACTCCAAATGTATATGTGATGTTTACTTCTTGGAGTATTTTTGTATCAATTAGTATTAAATTTTTTTGTAATTGTATTATTGTTCTAAAATCTTTGTTTAATTTGAATTTGTGATGGTACAAAGAATTATGTTTCTATTTTAGTTATACTAAATATACCTATAAGTTATTTTATACTCCTAGACAATCATTTTGTACATAGGATGCTTATTAGGATGTCTATGGTTTAAAGTTGTTCTGAAAAAGAACTGTAATGGACTATAACATAAAATATCTGTGATATAAATTTAATGAGACAATTTTACAAAATTGAAGTACATTTTAAAATTTTTCATTTTGTTTATGACATTGCAGGGTAATAACAACGTTTACATTAATCGTGTCTTCTAAGAGTGGCAGAAAGATCGCCAATGTCACAGCGAACTCGCTACTATTAAAATATTATTTGGCAAAAATGTTTAGGTCGTCTATTAACAACTTATATATGTTCCATGTGCAATCTAGTAACTGTTTCATATGTGTCCATATTATTCCCTTTATGTATCCCAACTCATTTGAATTGACATTTTTACCTCAAAAATGGTGTTATGTGAATATCTATGTACTGTATGTTTATATGTACTATGGTCACTCTGTATAAGAACTTTATGTAACATTTTTGTTAAGGAAAATTTATGTTACTGCATTCCAATTATGAATTCTATGTATCTACAGACTACGGTTAGTAGATGATCTAGAGTTTTCAAAAAAAGTTGTAATTAATCTAATAAAATAAAGAATGTGGTAAATTTGATTCTCTTTCAAAATACCTATATGTAAATTTTAACAAAATGGGGTTTTTGTGGTATCTTAATAACCTGATTTGGCTATTGTTATAATCCATAGAAAGCAATGCTTTTTGGGCACCCTTTACACCATTTCCACACCTTTTGAGGACTTTTCAGAGCCCGATCAGTCGGAAAAAATTTACAACGGTTTCAAAAGGCAAGGAAACGGGTTTGGGAACCTCCCAGGCGCTTTTCTTCTCAGTTTGAAAGCAATACTTCTGAAAAGTACCTTGTTTCTCGAAAGTTTGTCCCAAGTGTTAAGGTTTAGTTATCAGACCAGTAGAAACAGACAGCGACCAGAATATTTTCGTACCTAAAGGGATTTACAAACCTCTTCTTTTTCCTGCTTAGGCATCAAAGTATTGTGTTGGTGCTGTCTGTGGCAGTTTCAGCACTTTGAGCTGAGTAAAGCCAGAGTCGCCGATACGGGAGCTAAACAGAGGCAAATGGTCCAGACGATGCTGGGGGCTCGCCTCAAAGCGACTTTCAAACCTGATTTTCAAGTTGTATTTTTTTTACGAATAGTGTTGAAGAAAAAATGATTTTAGTCAAGTTGTATCAACTTTTGCTAATAAAAAAGCTCAAAGCGCGAAATTGTGATAGTTGTTATTATTTGAATCATTACCCTTTTCCATTCCCTACCTGGGATAGTACCTTTGCTAATGCTTTCAGCAGTAATTTTGATAACCAGTAATCTATAGCAGCAAGTACATATTCAGTAAATATGACACACTTACTGAGTGTTTTTGCGGCAACTATGAGGAGAATTCCTTACACTGCCGTCTAAGATTCTGTTATAGCGTTCTCAACGTTTACTTTTATTGGCGATGTACGACCGACATACAAACAGCTCACCATTTACAATGTCAGGTTTAGTATAATTATGGTGTTAACCGATACGTCAATGGTGGCCTATATTGAATTTTTTACAGGTAGGCTATTTCATCGAAAATGAACAAATTTTACATCCACCGTGAAAACCCCGCGACTTATAGATTGTGACCTTTTACGGTTGGACCACTATAGCGAAAGCTATAGCCCTTTTCTTTTTTTGGAAGGTGATATTTTGGTCAAGTCGTTTTGGATTCTACAAACCGAAATCTATAAGGGAAAGTCCAGGTTTCGGTCGATCTAAAACTTGTCGATTTTCGTTAAAATATCAGACTACACTTGCCCATAAATTCTGTCAAAGAAATGACTTGCCCGAAATTAACCGGTTTTTCGTATACATTTTATGCTGTGTAGAACTCAAAACGTCCAGAATTTTCGAGATATAGACATAGTGCCATAGTGGACAAAACCCCGATTTTACAAAGAACAAAGAAAGCGGTATAAACTTTAGTATCCAAAACATCAAGAACTATCGAGATTAGGCGACTGCTTCAAAAGTCCCCCTCGTCTAAATGAAAACCGTATGACGATAAATCTTTTTTGTGTGCCTCCATGTTACGGTGAAATCATTGCATATAAATATACAATGGTGGAATTATAATTAATTATTCATAATCACCGGTAAATCTAATAAATTTGTGGTACGTTCCATTTCAAAACTTTAGGGGAAGGGAAACTACTGCCATTTATGAAGATATTGAATTTAAAAAAATCATTCCGGGGGTTGTTTTCTTTCAATTATTTTCACATTGACCAGTTATGAATGTGAGCGTAGTATATCTTTGTTTATTCATTTAAATAAACATTGTAGTATGTATAAACGTAGGGAATGCAATACCGGGATTGCGGGATCCCGAAATACCGGGATCCCGCAGCATTTTTTCGAGATTAATCCCGCACATAAATGGAGCCACCAAGCCGACCAAGGGGACGACTCTGTTTACTTTGTTAATGAAACTGATAACGGCGAATTGTTTTTTAAATAATTGTTAAACTTTTTTCGTTAAAAATGTACTATGATTTTTGAGGCACTTTAGAGGACCTTTGTGCTTTACAGGTAAGGTTTTTTTGAGTTCTAAGTTAGGCCGAAGGTACTTTTTTGTTAAATATTGTGATAATTAGCGATTTATTCTAATACAGAAGTTAACCGCACAGAATTGCTTATTTGCCAATTTATTTAAAGTTTTGCGAGATCCCGCAAATTCCGGGATCCCGCGGGATTAACATCTAACAATCCCGCAAATACCAGGATTGAGATTTTGCTGCGGGATTGCATTCCCTACTAGAAACCAATTTCGAAAGAAAATTCAAAGGGCTGTAACTTTTGAACTAGTAGCCCAATCTTGGAACTGTTCGAAATTATGGATTCTACAGGCCACATTCTATAAGAAAAATTTTTTTCCGGGTCGATCTGAGCCAATTTTTCTTGAGGGCCTCAAAAAAAGGCAGTGTACAACCTTCCTTTTTTACAAAAAATCGACTGCACCAAAATTTCTCGGGAAAATCCTTTTTCTTATTAATTTTGGTGCGTAGAATGCAAAACAATTCGTACTTTTTCGATCAGACTTCTCAATCAAAAGTTATAGACTAGAAAAGAAACCAATTTCGAAAGAAAATTCAAAGGGCTGTAACTTTTGATCTAGAAGCCCAATCTTGGAACTGTTTGAAATTATGGATTCTACAGGCCACATTCTATAAGAAAATTGTTTTTCCGGGTCGATCTGAGACAATTTATTTTGAGGGCCTCAAAAAAAGGCAGTGTTTTACCTTCCTTTTTAACCAAAAATAGACTGCACCAAAATTTCTCGGGAAAACACTTTTTCTTATTAATTTTGGTGTGTAGAATCCAAAACAATTCGTACTTTTTCGATCAGGCTTCTCAATCAAAAGTTATAGACTAGAAACCAACTTCGAAAGAAAATTCAAAGGGTTGTAACTTTTGAGCTAGTAGCCCAATCTTGGAACTGTTTGAAATTATGGATTCTACAGGGCACATTCTATAAGAAAATTTTTTTTCCGGGTCGATCTGAGACAATTTTTCTTGAGGGCCTCAAAAAAAGGCAGTGTACAACCTTCCTTTTTTACCAAAAATCGACTGCACCAAAATTTCTCGGGAAAACACTTTTTCTTATTAATTTTGGTGCGTAGAATCCAAAACAATTCGTACTTTTTCGATCAGACTTCTCAATAAAAGTTATAGACTAGAAACTAGGGAATGCAATTACCGGGATTGCGGGATCCCGAAATACCGGGATCCCACAGCATTTTTGCGAGATTAATCCCGCACATAAATGGAGCGGGATCCCGTGGGATTTGCGGAACTGAGGAATTTGTCGACCAAGGGGACGACTCTGTTTACTTTGTTAATGAAACTGATAACGGCGAATTATTTTTTAAATAATTGTTAAACTTTTTTCGTTAAAAATGTACTATGATTTTTGAGACTTTTTGTGCTTTACAGGTCAGGTTTTTTGAGTTCTAAGTTAGGCCGAAGGTACTCTTTTGTTAAATATTGTGATAATTAGCGATTTATTTTAATACAGAAGTTAACCGCACAGAATTGCTTATTTGCCAATTTATTTAAAGTTTTGCGAGATTCCGCAAAAACCGGGATCCCGCGGGATTAGCATCTAACAATCCCGCAAATACCGGGATTGAGATTTTGCTGCGGGATTGCATACCCTATATAAACGTATTGTAAACACGTGGTCAAGCGACTGCATCTGTTGTGCGGTAGTATGCAGGTACTCCGTTCCTATGAAACCTGGTGAGTTTTGTCTACCTTTATTTTATTAAAGATTGTGTGGTCCATCGAGAAACTTTCCTTGCAAATAAATAAATCAAAATACGCTCGGACACTAGGTACTCCTTAGTTTTTGAGGAATGAGCTTTTTTGATTCGGGAATGAAATTTACTGCGACCAGACTCCGCCGAGTGAATTTGATCGAGTGCTTTTGAGAAATTAAACAGTAGATTAATTCAAATTTGTGCTTACATTTAACTAAATCGAATTAATAAAGACGCGTCATCTGTAGGTAATACAATACGACTACATCAAAAGTGGACAAAAAACCGATTTTCAAAAGAAAAAGGAAAGTAGTATAACTTTTTATGCAGGTACCTACTGGATTAATCTGTTCCTTCCTTCAATTATTCACATTAATCA